CACTTGTCATCTTCTGAAAACACTGCAAATTAGATTTCAGCCTGCTGGTGTAAATAAGAACATACAGATTTGTTAACTCCATGCTCTTTTTCTTTTAACAACAGTCTTGGAACATATGCATCATTACATGGGAGAATCTATTGCAAGCCTCACTTCAATCAGCTCTTTAAATCTAAAGGCAACTATGATGAAGGCTTTGGGCACAGACCACACAAAGATCTCTGGTCAAGCAAAAATGAAAACGAGGAGACACCGGAGAGACCAGCCCAGCTTCCGAATGCAGGAGAGACCCCTCAGAGCCCAGGGGTAGAAGATGCCCCCATTGCTAAGGTGGGTGTGCTCACCGCAAGTATGGAAGCCAAGGCCTCCTCTCAGCCAGAGAAAGAAGACAGGCCGGCTGAAACCAAGAAGTTAAGGATCGCCTGGCCGCCCCCCACGGAACTTGGCAGTTCAGGAAGTACATTGGAGGAAGGAATAAAAGTATCCAAGCCCAAGTGGCCTCCTGAGGATGAAATCAGCAAGCCTGAAGCTCTGGAGGATGTAGATCTGGATCTGAAGAAGCTGAGGCGATCTTCTTCACTGAAGGAAAGAAGCCGCCCATTCACTGTAGCAGCTTCATTTCGAACCATTTCTGTCAAGAGCCCCAAATCCTCGTCCCCACCTTTCAGGAAGGGCTGGAGCATGTCAGAGCAGAGTGAGGAGTTTGTAGGAGGAATAGCAGCAGGAAGGAAGCAAGTGGAAAATGCCGATGCCTCTGAGAAGAATGGGAGTGTGGAAAAAACAACCTGGCAAAACAAGGAACCTAAAGGAGAGGAGACAGGGGAGAGGAGAAGTAAGGAAGCTTATGGTTTTGAGATGGGGAGTGAGAATCTTGTAGAAAATGGTGCAAACTTAGATGAAGATGATACAAACCTTTTCAAACAGCAGTCTCCACTGGAACCCAAGTCTCCAAATTGGTCCGGCTTTGCAGACAACACCTCTCCTAAAGAATTCACTACTCAGAATCAGAAGTCCCAGGATGTGGGATTCTGGGAGGGAGACGTAGTCAAAAAGCTGTCTGTGGAGGAGCAGATAAAGAGAAATCGGTACTATGATGAGGATGAGGATGAGGATGAGGAATGATAAACTGCTACGGTGCTGGGCCTTATCTTGTGCTAGTGTTAGTGAGCCATGCCCTTTATCAGAGTGATGTATGTATACAGTTATCTTAGCGTAAACTGTAATTTATGTGAAAGTCATTTGGGGGAAACAGTTCTTGCTTCAAAAATAAATTTAAAAATCCCATACTGCAGCTTATCTCTAAAAGCTAGAGATAACATTACCTAAATCCTCTATTTTAGCCATGATAATATACATAAGTGCTTTAAGGCCTTATAAAAGAGAAGGGGAATATTCCAACTGATATAGTCCAGATTCCACTGTATTCCCCAAAAGGCAATATGAAATAGATAGATGATTAGTATAGTACATTGTTACACTAAAAATTGAATCATTCAGAGGGATTTAGGGGCCTAAACAATATTACTGTATGCACTTTAGTATAAAGGGCACAGTTTGTATATTTTTAAATGAATACCAATTTAATTATTTAGTATTCAACTGTTAAGAAATCAAATATTTAGTCTTTTTTTTTAATTTTTTAGGTTAACTACCTTGCTCAGATATATATGGGGGATTTATTGTTTTGCATTCCTGCTCTTTAAACCACACCCTAAAATGAATTCTTGAGATATAACACAGAATCTTTCTGAAACACCTCTAAGCACCTTTGGTGCTTGGAGAGATCCACTCTCTCCCCAGTAAACTATAGTATTTGCCAATAAGTGTGACTATACCCCCAAGTGATTGCTTTCTTCTCTGGTGGTATCTGTGCTCCTCATACTTTGCTAAAAGATACAATATTTTATTAAGATCTTTTATATTACTGTTTGCCATGTTTGATGTTACAGCAAAATGAGTTTAAAGAAGGAATAACAGAGTGGGGGTGGGGGTGGGAGGGGGGCTGTTTTAAACCACTTGAGCTCAGACCCCAAACCATATATTTCACTTCAGATCCCCTTTCTGGGACACTAAGTTTTTAATTCCTATCAGCTCTGGAATGTATTGATTTTTATGGCAGACAGTATTCCCAGGGTGCAATTAAACCAATTATAGGCTTTTGTGTGTATGTGTGTGTGTGTGTGTGTGTGTGTAGGGGTAATAAGGGGAGGAGGGGGGGAAGGGGGTCCTAGTGTTATGTCTTTGGAACATTATAAGCTTGAGTACATTTGTTGTACATAATTGATATTCCAAATTATATGTGGTGAAGGGAGGCGTTTTAAGCTATAGGCTTTTCTTTGTACTGTATTTTTAGAGATTTAGCTCTAATATTTTTTAGAGATGTAAAATGTTCTGCTTTCTTACAGTCTTGCTTCATCTGAAACATTTTTACTCAATAAAGCTTTAAATTTACATTTGAACTTTTCAATGTTCCTTTTTCATTATTATTTTTTTACATTGTTACAGACTCCCAGGATCTACTGTTACCTTAGCAGTTTATAAAGAAAAATATCTGATGTGGGTTTAAGTGAAGTGCTATTAATATACCTCACCACTAGGTGGTGGTGTTGGGATGATTTTGGGGGCTTTCATCATGAAGGGAGGCATTTTTCTTGAAAATTGAAAACAACTTGGCAAGAGAATTAATGTGTACATTCAAAATGAGCTGTTTGTTTTACCAATTAAGAATGTAATGGTGGGTTGTTATTGTTAATTTTTCTCAACATTTAATAATTTACCTTACAATTAGGCCTAAAATGCCAAATGGAATTTCCAAAGGCCTCTGCTGAAAATGGACTTGTTTTCCACTCTGAGCAAAGGCATAGTTGGTTGTTTGGTTTCCTTGCCTGCACAGGCAATCAACCCAATTGTTAAGGCACTTTATTTTTATTTTTATGGGAAGTGTGGATTTTCTTGGAGAGAGGCATGTTATGTTTTTCAGGGGTGCTGTGCGTTTCAGGGTTTACCTGGTTTTCTAACTACTTTTTGCTCTTGCTCCACCATAAGCTAAAGTCGGTTAGAAAGCCTTGTTCACTGAACAGTTATCCAGAAGCTCCTGTTGACCTTCATAAAATATCCAATCCTGGCTTCAGTTTATCTACTCTTACTGTGACACACTGCTACTCTAACCTATCTACATGATACAATATCTCCTGACTTTATACAATAAAGTCTGAGTGCTTATGGCTGGCATTTATGGTTATCATTTGAGTATGTCACCATATATCAGGTACATGGGCACTGAGATTATACTTAGAACCCTTTTCTATGCCTTTCAAGGGCTAATGTAGACATAGATATAAAAAGTAGAAACAAGCACTAGCTCCGTAATTAGTATAATAAGAGTCATTTTAAGAGAATGACCAGATAAACATTCTTAGAAAAAACAATAAACATTCTTAGAAAAACAAAAATGACAGCTAAATAAAAAGTGTTTATTGTTTATTCTCTCAGTTCTCCCGAATGAAGGCAACTTGTTTGGACTTGATATGTTGATGGTGGCAATAGGATGTTTCTCATTTGGTGAAGTGGGAAAAGGAGACTCTTAAACACTGCATGCTGGTGCGATCACTTCTGGCCAAAGCTTTCATTACATATTTCATGAGCAATAAGTTTTGTAACAGCCAAGAGGTTGAGAAATGGTACAAATGTGTTTTTCTGGGGGTAGATCATTTTGCATATATATATATGTAAATATATGGTTGTGTTTTTTTAAGAGGGGGGGAGGGAGAGAGAAATACTGATGTGGGAAACATTGATCGGTTGCCTGCTGCACATACCACTACTGGGGATCAAACCTGCAACCTGGGCATGTGCCCTGACTGGGAATTGAACCTGCAATTCTTTAGTGCATGGGACCACGCTTAACCAACAGAGCCACATGAGCTAGGTAGGGCTTGGGATAAATCTTGAGACCAAGATCATTGTGTGTTCCTGCATGCCAAGTTAGCATGTTCTCTGTTCCTTTGGGCTCTGATTTGAATTACCATGAGATCATGGAGGATTTACGTCTTTTAAAATGTATCTTGAATATAGATAGGGTAGTTACCATAAGCTATTGTTGGGTTTGGAGAAAAATGGTTTCAGGCAGTGCTTCTCAGACCAGCAGCAAAATCATCACCTATGAGTTTTTTAGAAATTAGAAACGCATATTCATTGGCCCTACCCTGAACCTCCCGAATTAATCTCTTTGGAACAAACTAATGGCTGAGCTGGGGTGCACTAAAGTTTGAGAATCACTGAGTTAAAGCAAACCTAATGTACTCCTTAGAATGGCTGGAGTTTTGTTTTTTCCTTTTCTCTCTTTAAAACCCTTTAACTGCTGCCATACTAGAGTTACTTTATCTGTCCTTAGATGAGAGGTAGAGATTTAGATTTTTAACTTCTTTTAAAACCATTCCAGTTAGCCTCTGATGGTGGAGAAGAGTAGGCGGGACCAGCTCAGATGAGAGCGGGGAGTAGAGAGATGAGTACAGCTGGGAACCGGAACAGCTTTGAGTGGCCTGGGCTGAGAAAAAGGAATGTCCCTATTATGGAGCTAGCCCCGAAATAAAGGGTGTGGCAGTAGGTGGACAGGCAAAAGAAGCGAAGCCAAAACTGATAGGAAAATAAAGGGCGGGACTAGCGTTCTGAGGCCAGTGGGGGTGGGGCCAAGGCTGGGGAGGCGGGGCTGGATGGGGCGTGGCTGGGGCGGGGCCGAGGGAGGCGAGGCGGGGCTGGATGAGGAGCGGGGCTCAGGGCGGGGTGGGGCTGGATGAGGGGTGGGGCTCTGTGCGGGGGCGGGGCTTAGGAAGGGGCTGGATGATGATGGGCGTGGTTAGTGTGGGGGCGGGGCTGAGGGAGGCTCGGGAAGGGGTGTGGCCAGCCTGGAGGGCGGGGTCCACCACGAAGTCCGAGGAATCCGCGGTGAGCGAGGTGGGCGGGGAGGCGAGAGGGGCGTTGGAGAGGCCCGGCTTCGCGGAGGAGGCTCGGGAAGGGGTGTGACCTGGGCTGAGACGTGCGGGGAACCAGAAGGGGCAGGAAGGGGGCGGCCACCGGCCCGGCCCCGCCCCCCCTCCCCGGGCCGCCTCCCCGCGGGTTCCGTTGGCTGTGGCGGCGGCTGAGGCTGCGGCGGCCGCGGGGCGGGCGTAAGATGGCGACCGCGGCGGCGGGCGCCCTGGGCCTGCTGTGGGGCTGGCTGTGGAGCGAGCGCTTCTGGCTGCCCCAGAACGTGAGCTGGGCCGACCTCGAGGGGCCGGGCGACGGCTACGGCTACCCCCGGGCCCGGCACATCCTGTCGGTGTTCCCGTTGGCGGCGGGCGTGTTCTCCGTGCGGCTGCTCTTCGAGCGGTGAGAGCCGGCGAGCGGGCGGCACGGGCGCCGGGGGCGCGGGCCGGGGGGCGCCGGGGGCCGCCGGGGGCCGGAAGCAGACCTGCGGGCAGAGCCCGGAAGCAGGGGCTGGGAGCGGGGTGCAGGGGGAGCCCGGGCTCCGCGCGGGATGCGCGGAGGGTGGCGAGGTGGCCAGGGAGCCTTGGCAGAGTCAGGAGGCTTGGGGCGTGGACCATGGTAGAGTGAGAGTAGAGTGAGAGGGGGGAGGATGCTGGGCCCATTCAATTTCAGGTTCCAGAGGCCTTTGGGGGGAGGGGGGGTTCTCCCAACCTCCACGGATTCTCCAGAACTGGCTGAGTGTGAGCTGCGGCCGAGAACCCGAAGCGAAGAACAGGGAAAGGGCCACGGGAGCCCGAGCTAGTTGGGGCGATGCAAGCTGAAGGGTCAGCGCTAGAGCCAGACGTTCCGGCAGAAGGGGGCGGGTTCATGGGGATCTAAGATTTGCGAGGATGCTTTAGTTTCTGAGCGTTGGCGGGAGCTGGGTTATTTAGGCCCTACATGTTGGTCTGTCAGCTCTTGGCCATGTGCTTGTGTTTCAATAAAATTCCACCAGGGCCCGTAAGAGAGTAGGGTGTGGTGGAGCCGGAGGCTTCCAAAATGTGGAAAGTTGTCAGCTAGTTGCTGATGGGGCCTTGGAGGCCAGCGATGGAAGGGGGAGTGGTCATCTTGAAGGGATGGAGAGCCCGTGGGGCTTATGAGAGAAAACTGCTGTGTTGAGTCAAACTTCTGAGCGCAGCAGAATCACAACCTCTTCGTTAGGCCGTGTTTTTGGAAAAGTGATTTCACCTTTCTTTGAGTGACTGGATTGTCTCTTAACTGTCAAAGCTCTTCAATGAGAACTTGATGTGGTGATTTTATAAGGTGGACTTACAGCTGTGGGTGATTTTGACCAAGTCTACTCAGACTCTGGAAAGGAGACTTCTTTCCACTAGGTTTCTGGTAATGAAGGCGGCACCTGGACACCTTTTGTTCACTTGGGCTTTGTATAGAACATGAATGCCCTTTCTGGGATGCCATAGATAAAATAATCTGTTAGTCTCTGAAAAATTAGTGTTATCTGTTTGATTTGCCCACTAATGACACAAAATCTTTCAAAAGTATTTGCTATGTAGCTAGCTAGTCATTAATTCATTTATTCATAGTGTTTGTATATTATCAACAAAGTGTTCTGCTAGATTTCAACTGCAAAATATGACGCTTTTAAAAAATGTTTTTATTGATTTCAGAGAGAGGAAGGGAGAGAAAGAGGGAGAGAAACATCAATGATGAGAGAGAATCATCTATCAGTTGCCTCCTGCACGCCTGTCACTGGGGACCAAGGACTGAGTTGGAAAACCTGGCAGGTACCCTGACCAGAAATGGAACCATGATCCTCTGGTTCATGGGTCATCGATCAACCATTGAGTCACACCAGCTAGGCTGATGCTTTTAATTGTAGCAAATGAAGCCCAGATGCTTTTTATGGGTCCTCGGAACTTAGTGCTGCAGTTTTTAAAAGTATAGTCATTTTGTAAATGTTATTGGGATGGAGATACAAACCATTTATCTCTCTTAGGATCAGGTTAGTATGAATATGAAGGCTGAAAAAAGAGGAAGACAATGTAATGACCAAGAAGGAAAATACATAATTCAAAACCTGCCAAAAAAATTCTTTGTCCTAAGAAAAGATTCTGTGCTTCTTACATAAATATATACCAATATGGAAATATCTCCACATTAGTGGCAAGAGGAAGTAGCTTGTTGCTTCTAAACACCCGTTTTATATAAACTTACATATCTTCAGCTTTCCATAAAGTTGTCCCAGGTGGCTGAAGACTCTCCTGGCAGAGCCACTGGAAAAGATCCTTTACCTGTGGGAATTCTATCTGAATGTTTCTATGGTGCTCCAGTGTCAGGAGAGTAGGGGTGGACGGGAATACTGAGCTGAAAGCATTCTAGAATGATATTTCTTGGCTAGTATAGATCAGTACTTTGTTCATCTCATGTTTGATCTTAGGAAAGTTTAACCCTAGAAGCAGTCTTGCTATTTTGTTTCTCTTTTAAGACAATACTTCAATAAAACTGACTGCTAGATTGCCAGTTCCTCTATTTGCTCTGGTCTTTCATAAAGGTAATAAATAGAAGCCATTCTTATTGAGTAATGAAAAAAGATATATCAGAAATATTGGTGGTGTCGTTTTTCCTACATTTTCTCATTTCTCAAATCCTACCTACTTAGGTTCTAGAAGCAGTTCTGTAGTTATCATAAACTATAAGAGCTAGAATTCCAACCGCCTTTTACAGATAAAATATGGCCACTTTTCAGAGGTTGCATATTCTCCTGGGGGAAGAGCTAGAACCAAGATGCAGATCATTCCCCCAGCCCAGTGTGTGTATAATGTGGCCATCTTTTCCTGTTCCTTCACCTCCTTTCAAGGGTTAAGATTTAAACTCCTGGTTCCTGGTATTCTAAGATTTGGAGAACAAATTCATGCTCATCTTATTCTTCATTATTTAATATAACATGTTTGACTTGAATTTTGCAATTTTTTAATTGTTCTGCATATTTTAATGAACCTTACACTATAACCCCTGATAAGTTATCTCTATTTGTGTTGTTTTAAGAATCTCCCAAAGAATAAATATAGAGTTTACAATCTGTTCTCACTTTCTCTTTCTTGTCATCAATAACAGTGAATATTTTATTTTTTAAGTTCCTACATCCCCTGGTGAACTGCAGCCCATCTGGTAAGGATGACTTGAAAAGCTACACGATCATTTATGTAAAGTGTTTATATCTAGCTAACTATTGTATTTTGTTGAAGAATTACAGGTAGGAGAGAATTACCTACCAAAGAACAAGAGGCTTTCCTGTGTGGGCCTCTGTTGACTGGTTGCATTGTTATGGCCCAGTACCTTGCAAAAATGCCTTGGGTGTAGCATGTGGTCAGTAAATACTTTTTGATAGTTTGAGAAGGGCCCACCCTCATCTACTCATTTGCCCAGAGGAGTAACTGGAATCTAAATCTTCAATCTGAAATAGATTTTTGGCTTGATTAAGAGAGGCAAAACTATGATTCCTTTGTTTCTATTGTTAAAGTTCACTATACTATATTTGCATGTTGTGTACCTTTCTACATATTCTTTCTCCTCTCTCCCCCGATACACAAATTCATGTTACCCTGTACCTATTAAAAGAGAGATAAACTTTCCCACCTGTTTTTTTAAACTTATTTTAATATTATGTTGATGGTTGAGATCTGAAGGAAAGAGTGGTTCAAACTAGGTCTGCTATGTCTTCCTTAAATTAGATCTTAAAGATAAATTGTTTGAATTTTAATATCTAGTCCCATGAGCACTAGTTATAATATCTTGTTCCTTGGGATTAAGTAGGAGCCTGATTCTTAATATTGACACCGTCAGAGATATATAGGCTCATTATTTTGAATATGATACTGCAATAGGAGCTTTATGTTGCCAGAAGAAAATTTTATGAATTATGCAGGAGGTAGATTAAAACTCTCCTTGCTGCTCATTCATTATTTCAATCCCCTCTTCTCTCCTGTTACTTCCTAGGCAACCTCAGTAGGCTGTCTAAAGAGCCTTCTCAATAGCATTCTCACTGGGGACTGAACATACTCATTTGCTGGCCATCATGTAACTGGCAACAAAGAGTAGTGACTGTGTGTGTTTGTGTGTGTGTGCATGTGTACTTTCTTAACCACTCATCTTCCTCTTGTAAACCTTGCTACCTCTGCTGTATACTGCCTTTGTCTTCCTGTTCTCCCCCACTTCCCCTAAGCAAAGGATGAACTTTTTTTTCCCCTCTTCCCGACAGACCTGCTGTCCCCTCTTGGAACCATAGCATGTCACAGCATTGTGGCCAGTGTTAGAGAAGAGAGGCTTTGGGAAGAATGGACTTAGCTGCTGACTAGGCTGGAAGGGAGGCTGCCAATTCCACTGCATCCCTAAAGGTGTTCTGTTGGGTGTTATTGAATTGTAAATCACAATTAAATCAGGTTTGCAGATCCAGCAGAACGAGATTGAAAAAATGGTCACATGACCCTGCTCTTATCTAAGTATCCACCTCTTAATAAGCTCCAGATGGTCAAAAGCCTAATGTGTTCCTCCTCTCTATGGGAAAACTTCTTTCCCAAGCCCTTTCTGGGTAGTGGGTATTGATGCTCTGCAGATAACCCTGAATACTGTCATGCATGAGGTCAGGCTCCTGGCTTATCCCTAGAGACAATGTATTCGACACTGAAAAGAAATGTGCTAGATGTTTTTGCTTTAGCCACTTCCTGAGTCAGAAAACTAGTTTTTCTTCAAGAAGAAATTCATGAAGGAAGAGACAGCAAATGAAATCTGTACACATACCCCTCCCTCATAGAGCAGGAACGGAGAAATAATAACCTATTTTGACTTCCTTTCAGGGGTATTTTTAGGCAAATAAATGCTGCTTTCTAAAGAATTCACTAAGTTATGAGCTTTTTATACTGAATCCACTTCAATTTAATTGAGGTGTTGCTACAGAAGGAGTTAACCATAATCACTTCTAATTTTTTAAAAATCTAAAACTAGTTTCCTTAGGTATGAAGGCAGTTTTTCTAGCTGTGAAAGAGAATTCTCTCTGAATCACCTAGGATTGTGCTGTGCAGTATAGTAGTTATTATAGTTGGTACAGTAGTTAGTACAGTGGTTAGTACAATAGCTGCTAGCTTTTTGGCATTTCAGATGTGACTAGACAGAACTGAGATGTGTTCTAAGTGTAAAATAAAATACATACTGGATTTTGAAGGCTTGATACCAAAAATTAGTAAAATATCTAAATTTTTAACATTGATTATATATTGACATGCTAGTATTTTGTATATATCAAGTAATTATTGAAATTAATTTCACCTTTTTTACTTTTTAAAATGTGGCTATTAGAAAATTTAAAATTAGCTATGTGGCTCACATATTTCTGTTGAGCAGTGCTG